AAACGATGACCTTGGAGGAATCGCTGGGCCATTCACATACAGTCAAGTAAAGGTCACTGTAGATTTCTTCATCCTGGAATAATCGGACTTGGCGGACCTGAAGGAACAAGAAGATACTTATTGGAACACAGATGTACTTGGAAAAAGGATGATTAGGCTGTACAATAACTATCATAAAAATAAACCTTCCTAATCTGGAGCATTAATTCGAATGTGCTTTATGGTTCTATAGCCCTGTACCAGAGAATTGACTGTTGCCAAATGTAACCACATGACAAAGAAAACCAAACAGTAAAAGACAGCTAATGCAACCTATTATGGCTAGTTAGTTAGTATTTGCCAAGATTATGAAGCAGGGCCAAGCTCAATCTGACTAGATGAAGTCCCTGATCCACCTAGGCAATTAGGAAACATTCAAGGCTAGATTTTCTCAATGAGAAAATGAAGCAATACCATGTGAATCAAATACAGACAGAAGAACTTTGGGAGCAAGAGCAAAAGGAAAGCAGGGGCTCCATTATCTGATTCTTCCTTTCTTTAACCATCACCTTGAAGTTCCAATCCTGACAGATAAGATAAACATTATCATGGTTGAACAAAATATTTGCACTCCATTTGCAGGAGTCTTTGGATGTTGAGCTGTTCAAGTATATTTTGGTTTAACTGAGAATATTGTTTCAGAGGGGAATTAATATGTGTCTGATATAAATTAGATTTTAAAGCTTTCTATATTGGTAGGGATGGCTATTTTAAATTCAAATATTCTCAAAATATCAACTAGCAATTAATCTGGCAATTAATCCAAGGATCAGGCAGAAATCTGGCAATTAATCCAAAGATCAGGCATAATCATATGAAATTATAATCCATATGGTAATATGACAAGAGCCAGTTAGGGATAGTGTTTATGGGGCTGTCCTAGAAACCCAGAGACTTTGAGTTCTAAGCCTGCCTTAAGCATGAAAGCCACCTGGATGGCTTTAGGTGAATCATTCTCTCTCAGCCCAACACACCTCACAGGGTAGTTATTGTGGAGAAAATAGGAGGAGAGCACAGTAGTATCTATTTTCAGTGCCTTGACTTAGTTATTAAGCAATAAAGGATTTAAAAAATCAAATAAATAAATAAAATGGATGTCATTAAAAAAAATTAAAATGTTAAGTGATCTGACAAAATCTTGTATGTCTGAAGAAACTGAAATGTAGGCAGCTTTGCATTTATTTTTTTAACTTAATTTTTTACTAATACTATTGCTCAATAAACTAACATAACAAACTATTTGTTACACTAAATTAGTACGTACATGGAAAGACCAACATACAAATGACTGAAACTGATTTATATTTCATAAAATTGCTAAAGAAGTTTGTGATTATTTTTGCTAAATTGAATTGTTACATCCAATGTAATTTGTATAGTCTTCAGAAAGAAATGTTACCAATCTAATTTGTCAAAGCTCAAACTATGATTTACATTGGTGAAAAGTGGTATTGGAAGGAAAAGTCTCAAGCACAAATTCAGATAGATAGATGAAAATCTAGTACAGGAGCCAGTTGTTTAGAATATGCTACAGCTGTGGCTTTATATCAAGGTATCTGAACTGTCTCTTCTCACAATTAGCTGTCACGAGAGGTTACACTGTTACTGCCTCCCCAGCCCCACTTCCTACAAAATGGTGATTTTCCTTAAAGCAAAACAAAATTCAAGACCATAATGATTTACTCCTACAACTGGTTTGAGAATGATTTTTTTAAATCAGTTTTTTCAGAATTATTCTTCAGAACCGAAGAAGCTTATTGGAAGAGAAGCAAAAAGTCTTCAAGCAAAAAAACCAAGAAAGTCCAGTTGCCTTTTGAAAAAGCACCTTTGGAAAAACCATGACCTGGATGACTGAGAATCTCCACAGAAAGAATTATTTTATTTTATAATATGGCAGATATACAGAAAAGAAGAAATGTAAATCTACTAAATGAATTGGAGGGGGGGGGGAAACAACAACAAAATATTATACTTTAAAAGTTGGAGTAAAAGCTATGCATGTTCTTATTTTGGAGATGTTTCTCTTTATAATTGTTCTTTCTGTGCTATCTTTAATATCAGCTACAATGACGTTTAATCTTCTCTACATATTTTGTTTAAAATGTAACCATTGTCTAGTGTAATCCAACAT